CTAAAGAAAGGAAGGAAGGAAGGAAGGAAGGAAGGAAGGAAGGAAGGAAGGAAGGAAGGAAGGAAGGAAGGAGGGAGGGAGGGGGGAGGGAGGAAAAGAGAGAAAGAGAAAAAAGAAAAGAGAAAGAGAGAGAGAGAGAGGAAGGAAGAAAAAGAAAGAAAATGTGGCTATGAACATGTTTTGTTTTAATCCCAGGTGTGGGATGTGGAACTAATTCAGATAGTTCACAGCAGCAAACTATTTGCCTCATGCGGGCTCTGAAAGGCGCTCTTTGCTAGCTGCAGATAGTTTAAATCTGAGGACTCTGGAGAGAGAATAAATGCAAGAGGCCAGAGAGTATGGAGGAGCTCCAAGAAAGAGCAAGGCTGCTGCTGCGTCCCCCTGAAGCTCCCAGTTGCTGGTGATGCAGTGAGACAAGAAGGTGGAGATCTCCTGAAACTGGCTCCAAGGATTAGACTGGCTCCAAGGAACCCGAGCATCCTAACCAGCAGGAAGCAGCTAAGAGATCTGCAGTCCCTTGTTAGGGTCTGAGAATCACTGAAGAAAGATCCCAGAATCAAGTAGTATGCAAGAGCAAGGAACACTTATTCTGCAGAAATTTCCAGCATGCTGGGGCCACCATTCCTTAGAATGGTCCCAACCCGCCAAAGTGAGCACGCAGGCACAGTTTAAAGGCAATCAGGGAGATTTCCAAGAGGAAAGTGGTAACCTTTCCTTTGATTGGTAGACTCAGTTTGTATGGGGGATATAGGATTGGCTAAACATTTAGGAACTTTTCAGAGTTGCTAAGGCCTTTTCCTCGGGTTTGCTAAATTATACTTACCTCAAGCCTATGTGTTAACCTTTAAACTGATTGGCTGCCCATGAACCGCAGCTTTAGTCAGATTAGCCAAATAGACTGGGGCCTTCTGTGGGTCTCTTGGAGGCTCTGAAGTTATAGACCTCCTTAAGAAGCAGTCCATCTCAAGTCATTGAGATGTATCTGTGGGTTGGTATTGTTGCTCTAAAATCATTAGCTGCACGGAGGAAATGTGCTTCTTAACAAATCTGACTAAAGCA